TTCTGGACGTCCTGGCAGCGGGCGCGTGTCTCGTTAGACGCAGTCTCTCACGTTTGGCAGGAGATTTGAGCAGGACCTGAGCTGTAGTCTGGTTTCATTAGAGGAGAAAGAGAGAGCGGCAGATGCTGCTACTGAGGTCCTGTCAAAGACGGTTTCTCTCTCAGATGAGGTTTATGAAGAACGTTTATACCTGGATGGAGAATTCAGCTGCACGCTATTGCTGCTGCGTTCGGTGTGTCCTGCTGCGTTGCAGTCTTATGCATGTTAATACAGTATGTATGAATTCACAGAGCTGAGAGTACTGTTGCTAAATGACTTGCGCAGCCCTGCATTGTGGATGAAGATGGAATCTTTTCTCCGGGTGTTTGTGGTGTTTGTGGTGTCTGTCTCTTTGGCTCTAAATATGATCATGCATATCGGCTCTAGAGCGATTGCATCCCAGTTGCACTCAGCAGACGTCTGGTTTGGCATCTGTACAGTCAGATTTAGCAGTAGGATGAGCGGCTGGCTTGTATTTCATCTGATGCAATAGTAACACCCAATTGACACCAACAAAAGCGGTGTGTTGTGTTTTATTGTGATTCAATAAAAGCAGATTAACTTGTTATATATAGTTTTTGCTTTTTAACTAAAACTAAAAAAAAATTGTTAACACTTTATTTTAAGGACCAATTCTCACTATTAACTAGTTGCTTATTAGCGTGCATATTACTAGTACATTTATTAGTACTTATAAAGTGCATATTAATGCCTTATTCTGCATATTTTAGATCCCTTAATTCTAAACTTAACAACTACCTTACTAACTGTTAATAAGCAGCAAAGACAGAGTCTCTCACGTTTGGCAGGAGATTTGAGCAGGACCTGAGCTGTAGTCTGGTTTCATTAGAGGAGAAAGAGAGAGCGGCAGATGCTGCTACTGAGGTCCTGTCAAAGACGGTTTCTCTCTCAGATGAGGTTTATGAAGAACGTTTATACCTGGATGGAGAATTTAGCTGCACGCTATTGCTGCTGCGTTCGGTGTGTCCTGCTGCGTTGCAGTCTTATGCATGTTAATACAGTATGTATGAATTCACAGAGCTGAGAGTACTGTTGCTAAATGACTTGCGCAGCCCTGCATTGTGGATGAAGATGGCATCTTTTCTCCGGGTGTTTGTGGTGTCTGTCTCTTTGGCTCTAAATATGATCATGCATATCGGCTCTAGAGCGATTGCATCCCAGTTGCACTCAGCAGACGTCTGGTTTGGCATCTGTACAGTCAGATTTAGCAGTAGGATGAGCGGCTGGCTTGTATTTCATCTGATGCAATAGTAACACCCAATTGACACCAACAAAAGCGGTGTGTTGTGTTTTATTGTGATTCAATAAAAGCAGATTAACTTGTGCTGTGAAGCTGTGTGTATATTGCAAAGGCATCAATGTAGAGTGAAGTTGAAGCTGGAGCACTGTAGTTGTGATGCTTTGTGACAACAAACTCGAATTGTCCTTTAACTCAGAAGTGGTTTAGTGGTCAGTTTAAAATACAACCAACATCCTTCAATATATAATGCATATTCTATGTTTTCAGATCAATTTTAGTGATTTTGAGTAGATAGTGTGTATTTGCATGATTTAAATTCAACATTTTGTGTACATATTGTATTTGTATTTACTATAATTAAACTGTATTTTACTCTACAGTTCAAAGATTTGGGGTCGGTTTAAATGTTTTTTATTTATTTTTTTTTATTTTTTTTTGAAAGAAGTCACTTCTGCTCACCAAAGCAGCATTTATTTGATTAAAAATACAGAAAAAAACAGGAATATTGTGAGATATTAGTACAATTTAAAATAAGTTTTTTTCTGTGTGAATGTATTTTAAAATATAATTTATTTCTGTGATCAAAGCTGAATTTTCAGCATCATTACTCAAGTCTTCAGTGTCACATGATCTTCAGAAATCATTCTAATATGCTGATTTGCTGCTCAAGAAACATTTCTGATTATTATCAATGCTGAAGACAGTTGCGCTGCTTCATATTTTTGTGCAAACTTTAATACATTTTTGTTCTGTGATGAATAAAAAAATAATTTATTTGAAATTTTCTTTACTGTCACCTTTGATCAATTTAATGTGTCCTTCCTGAATAAAAGTATTAATTTCTTTAACAAAAAGCATTGCATTGCATTGCAAAAATCCTGCATGCTGTATGCACTGAAAACACCCTCCACCCTGAAGTGACAGCAGTTCCAGCTGGCATGACATGAACAAAACACACGCTCTGCTGAAATCAAAGCTGTCACCCTTCAGATTCGCCAGCGGGCGGATAGTCAGTCCTACAAGATGAGAAATAAAGAGCAAACGAGAAAAAAGATCAAGAGGGAGGAGCACTGATGGACCTCTTCTGACGTTTTTGATGGTTTAATGTTGAGGTCTTGAATTATTAATTGTTTGTTGGCGTCATATTTAGTGGGTTTTTCTATTAACTAGTTGCTTATTAGCGTGCATATTACTAATACATTTATTAGTACTTATAAAGTGCATATTAATGCCTTATTCTGCATATTTTAGATCCCTTAATTCTAAACTTAACAACTACCTTACTAACTGTTAATAAGCAGCAAATTAGGAGTTTGAGGCAAAAGTCATAGTTCATAGTTAAAAAATCGGTCCCCAAACTAAAGTGTGACCAAATTTATTTATTTGAAACAAAATAAACATTCAATGAAATTAAATTGAATATTAAAAACGTTTCTCATTTTATGTAGTTCCACTTGAAGTGCTTGAATAACTAAACCTAAATAAACTACAACTAATAAGGAAACATTAACAAAAACTATATAGAGATATTTAAAAAAAAAAAACTAATAAAAATGACAAAAAACACAACAAAATTGCTAAAACTTTAAAATTAAAGTCAAAACAGAAAATATTCAAATTAAATGTAATTCAAAATAAACACAAAAAACTATAATAGTAATTATCAGTGATACTCAAACAACACTGCCTTATATTATTAATCTCTTTACATCATTTTTCCATATTTAATCACTTGTTTGCAGTTCTCAAACTGTCCTGGTGTGACCCGATTTTTTTTTTTTAAATATCCAATTTTTAAATACAAACTCTGCATTATTAGGCCTGAATCTGTTGTTTATGTTTCACCACTTTGAACATCTTTAATGTTGCTTTCAGTCTTTCAAATTCTTTCTTTGTTCTCCAAATCAAGTTGTCCAATATCCGTGTTTCCTCAGAGGAAGAGCAGTTCTCCAGAGACGGAGGAGAAGGTGAAGAGGTTGAGGAAGAAGAACACTGAACTCGCCGTCATCGCCAAACGTCTGGAGGACAGAGCACGAAAACTACAGGAAGCCAACCTGAAAGTGGTGCGTACACAATTATGCGTCTTCATATGATTTAGTGTGTGGAGTTGATGCACCACAGCAGGATTTTTAGCACTTACACCGCAGGCAAAACCATCGTTTTTTCATGCATGGGTCAGTTTTAAGGCTATTTTGCGTCTTCTTTCAGACTAGTGGAAATAAAACATTCAAAATACACATTTAAAATACATATCTATTTGCATCTGTAGAATTCATTTCAAACCCATATCTTTAAAGAGTTTTGTCTTCACTTCAGCAGCACTTACACAAAACTTTACAGTTTTTTTTTCCTATCTATATTCTGAAGGGTTTGTTTTTTACACAGAGAGGTTTGTTTACATAACACTCACATGATTTTATACAACATATTATTCCTAAAAACATGGTAAAATTATTATTTTTTTTTTTCTGGCTGTTGACAGTATTTGACAAGAATTTCGAACCTGGCTTTAATTAGCGTTTAGATTTCTGTTATGCAAATTAGTGCATATTTAATTAGATCATGTCTTTTTTTATTTGCATATTTCAACATAACATTTCAGAAAACTTGTAATAGAACACAACTGTACCACAAAATGTACTGGAGAATTATTGATATCAATTAGTTCATTTTTTTACACCATACACCTGTTGTTTTTTGCCCTAAATGCATTTCATTCATCAGTGTAAAAGTAAAGTCAGTCTTTTTAGGTTGGATTTTCCTTTTAGGTGTCATTATGACGACGTTACATGCACTTTACACTTTCAAAGCTATAGAGGATGGCTAAATGATTGCATTTTTGATGAAACTATTTCTTTATTTTATCACTGGACTGTTGTTATTATCTGCCCTTTTGCCTTTGGTGGATAATAAATCCTGTCTTTTAGCGTCTGAACAATACAATAGAGAGCAGTTGACCTGACCTGACCAACCCGTCCAGTGTTTACTAATCAAACACACTCATGGCTCATTCATTGCTCTCTTTTGTCTCAAATATAAAGCCAAAGCACAGATAGAGCTTTTAATGACTTGTCTTGCTGTTGACTTTGTTCTGAATGACTGTGACTAGTTAAATACATTGCAGATCTATTCTTAAACAAGCTTCTGTTTCACAATGACATTGAGCTTTTGATGTAGAGCGACAAAACTGGTTACATAAGACCAGACGGTACTATACACAATGCTGTAGTAGAGAAGAGAATGATGACGTGAGTGTGTGTGTGTGTATGTGTGAATGAGAGAGTTTGGACATAAAGACACCGAATCCTCGCCCTTCACCCCTCTGTATGTCTGTTACACTGTAACTCTAGTCCACCTGTACGGCCACCTGTCAGCTCCCAGGTGCTCATGGGTAATGACTGACGCTCACAGCACAACACCTGTTACACACTTGTATCAGTCCTGTCTCTCTCTCTCTCACACACACACACACACTGGACATACGGATGCACTACAGGCACGTCCTCTGTTCTTAGATCAGCTGATTCTGTCTTTTAGTTTGTGTTCTTTTAAATAGTTCAGATGTTAAAATACTTCAGATATTTTACAGTGTTTCCAGAGGAGTGTTGTATTGATTTGCCCAAACATTTTACAGTGCAAGTCAACTTGACTTCACTATACTATATTAAAGTTCCTCTTCTTTTTATTGTTATTTATTTGCAGTTAAAAATATAATTATAATAATAATATAATTAATCATTGATAATTAATTGTTATATAATAATAATAATTAAAATCATATAATAATAATTATTATTATTTTAGCTTTAGATATTGTGTCTGTTTTTATAAACGTTATATTTAAAAAAGTGTAGAAATTGTTTTAATGTCCGTTCAAACCAAGAATGATAACTAAAGATAAAGATAACTATAATGATAACTATTTTAGCATCCAGACCAAGTTTTACAGTCAACACTATATTAAAGTTCCTCCTCTTTTTGTTTTTTAATTTGCAATTCTGCTCAAACCTTTTTTTTTCCCTTTAATTTATGTTTTCATAAACTCTATTAAAATGTCATAATCATTATAGTTGTGGTGGACTTCACTATTGTTGTAGAAATACAGTGATCATAATTTAAAACTTAGTAGAACGGCCCTTTAAACTGTTCAATCAGTGATGACATCATTTGTGAAATGTACATATCGAACTGTGATTGGTTTCATTCTTGCATTTATTGCAAGCACTGATATTTCCTTCAGAAAATCCAAGAATAGCATCTGATTGGCTGGTTTATCTGAAGGCGTGTCCTCTCAGTCATTTCTGATTGGTGGAATGATGTGATTGACAGCTGGAGTAATTCATAGCACTGACTGTAGTTGTTGTAGATGATTTCTCTATAAACTGTCTCTCTCCGGCTGTTTCCAGGCAAATACTCCGATGCCGGTGAAAGTGGGCGCTGTGGAGCAGTACAAGCGTGCATTTGCCCGTCAGAGAGCCAGAGACCTGGCGCAGCACGCAGACACGCTGCTGTGTAAAGACAAACAGATCGCAGCACTGCAGCAGGAGTGCAGACAGCTGGAGACGCGGCAGGGACAGGGGAAGGTACACAAACACACACAGGAGTGCATCTCTCTTACAGAAACCATTCGACATCTTTAACGAGTGCCATTTGCCACATCACTAGTACTATTAGTTTAATTATGACTGTTTTGCATCAGAATCTCAGCTATAGCTCAATTCTCAGAGTCTTCAGAGTTGATTTTTGCCAACAAACTTCTAGTCAGCCATAGTCCTTTAATTTAATTTAATTTTATTTTATTTTATTTTATTTTGGCTTATGGCTATTCATTTCTTTTCAGAATCAGAATAGATCTGTTCTGTTGTTCATATTGTTTTTTTTCTTCTTAAAAAGATATTCAAATATCTGACCAGCTGCATTATTTGTAATAATTTCAAAAAGTAAAATGATTTATGTGCAGTTGCTCATATATTTCAGATCTCAGTTTCCTTTTCAGAGTCTTCAGTGTTGATTTTTGCCAACAAATTTTAGTCAGCCATATTTAATTTTATTTAATTTTATTTTTTTATTTAATTTTATTATTTATTTTTTTATTGTATTGTACTGTATTTTTATTTTTTTATTTTTTTTATTTAGATATCATGCAGTTAAAAAACTTAAAATATCTGACCAACTTGTTGTTTGTAATTGCTAAATATCTAACAGGATTTCTGTGCACTTGCTTATGTATATCAGCTCTCAGTTCCCTCATGCATTTTCATTATTATGACTTCTGTCACCACCTGCTGGAGATGTCATGTACTGCACATAGTCAGCATTTACTGAGCACACGCTTTAAGTACATGGACATAAATTTGGAGTCTGAACCTGGCACAGAAATTCATTTGTCACACCGCAGGACTATTTATGTGAACTGCTCCTAAAGCTGTGAATGTCTTTGAGATGTTTGATCTTCGCATCTCTCTCTCAGGGTCCTGTGGGAGTCAGTGAGTTTGAGCGTCTCCTGAAGGAGTCTCAGAAGGAGGTGTTGCGTCTGCAGAGGCAGCTGTCTGTCACCTCCACCAGAGACCAGAGCAGTGTGATGGCAGAAAGCCCTTCAGAGAGACAGGACAGAGACGGCAGGGTGAGAGCAAAAACACGCCCATGTTTCCCAACACTGAGCAAAAATAAACACGCTCTGATACAACACAGGAACGCTTACTCATAAAGACATATTTTATTCCTTATTTTGCCAAAAAATATTATTTATTTAAATGGGTCAATGGCAGTGTTATTTTAGTATTATTGAGATATTATTATTGTTTTTATTAATATTTTGAAGTAGTTTTTATTTGTATATTTTTCATATTGTGTTTTTGCGATTTTTTAAAACACGCCTATTTAGTTTTATTATAAAAATTAATGCAATAATAAAAAAAATATTTCAAAAAAATATATTTTTTTTTATGGTTTTAGTTAAATATATAATAACCAATAAGTCAAATTTTTAATTTTCCTATTCAGCCCTCAGTGTACATGTTCATTTAATGTGCAGTTCTTGGTTTGATTTTAAGGGAATTTTTGTTTAATTTTGTATAGTTTATTTTAGAAAATTAGTCTAGTTTAGATTATTTTAGTGGTCGGTTGCCTTGTGTAAGAAACCACTGGCCTGCATCAAACTAACCAGTCTGGCGTAATCCTCTCAATCCACTGTTAAACTGTTGTAATGCTGTTACTGCTCGGCCGTTTCTCTGTGCTCTGAAGTGTCATTGATATAAAAGGATATCTAGAGGATTCTTCCTGGGCAGAGTCATTTCCTCTGTGAAAGCGGCTGGTCAGGAGTCGGATTATTGTGCTTGTGCGTGTGTGTGTGTGTGTGTGTGTGTGCGTGTGTGTGTGTGTGCGCGCGTGCGTGTGTGTGTGTGTGGACACTGTGTTCCTGACTGTTAAGTGCTGCAAATATGTAATTATACTCCAGCCCAAAGCCCCTCTCTACATGAAGTGTAATTTATCACGGATTGATGACTTGATGAATACAGTTTGATAAACCTGTTTTTTATTCTCTCATTACAGCAAGTGAAAAATGCACTGAAGTATACAATAGGATTTGTGATTGTGTGTTCAGCGCTGCTTTTGATTGGGTAAGTGTGATTTGTGGGATTATAGTATTGTGTGTGTGTGTGTGTGTGTGTGTGTGTGTGTGTCCATGTGTGTGTGCGTGTGTGAGAGAGAGAGCGAGAGAGAGAAAATGCTTTCCCATATACCAATTTAATACTCAACTATGACTCAACCAATGATGTGAGTTTGGGGTGGGAATATCTGTTTGGTGGCCAATGGTAATTAGGGGTGAAGCAGGTGCAGTAGGAGTGTTTAATTAGCTAAATTTATGACCATTTTTTCTAGTTTAGTGCTTTCAGTATTGCAAAAATGATCACCTTTAATAGAATAGTTCACCCAAAAATGAAAATGTGCTCACCCTCAGGCCATCCAAGATTAGGATGAGTTTGTTTCTTCATCAGATTTGGAGAAATGTAGCATTGCATCAGTGTCTCAGCAATGGATGCTCTGCAGTGAATGGGTGCTGTCAGAATGAGAGTCCAAACAGCTGATAAAAACATCACAATAATCCACACCACCATAATGCATAATAACGCTTCCTCCAGTGAAAAAGTAGTTTCGTCTGAATCAGGAGAGAAATCTGCACAGATCAAACACCGTTTACAAGTGAAAACAGCTCTAAACAAATATGTGGCTGGATTTTAATGTGAGAGACAACAGAAAATTTACTTTTTCATTATGGATTATGGACTCATGTTTTGGCCAGAAGCAATGGTTTAAAGTTAATAAGTCTTATTAATAAGTTAATAATGATGGATTTGTTTCTTACGAACACGCAGCTTTTCTCTTCTCAAGTCATTAACTGATGGACTGGAGTGCTGTGGATTACTTGTGGATTATTGTGATGTTTTTATCAGCTGTTTGGACTCTCATTCTGACGGCACCCATTCACTGCAGAGCATCCATTGCTGAGACACTGATGCAATGCTACATTTCTCCAAATCTGATGAAGAAACAAACTCACCTACATCTCGGATGGCCTGAGGGTGAGTAAATCTTCAGCAAAGTTTCATTTTTTGGTGAACTGTTCCTTTAAGTCTTAATCAGGTTGATTACATCAGTTAACACACGGTCTTTCTCGTCAATATGAATTTTGTTTGCATATGTACATTGTGTGTATATGTTTGCAAAAGGCTTCTACCTAAATGTTTGAGGTTAGTTAGTGAAATGTCCAGTTTTGACTGCTAGTCTATGTTGCACTCACTTTAATGACCATTTGAAGTTTCAATCTCAGCTGTCCTCACTGTCTCTGTAAAGCCTGGATGAGAATGGCGGTGCAGGGTAATCTGGTCATTTGCGACACACACACACACACAGAGAAAGAAAGGGGCCATGTTGCGTGCGCTCTAATCCCCTTTGACAGCAGAATGGTACGGTCCCATAATCCTCTGGCTGTTGCCGTGGTAGCGTTGAGAGGGTTTTGGATGGTAACTACGACTTCAGCCCAAAGCGAACCAAAGATTCCCGCAGCCGTCCCACACGCGGACACTTTGCTTTCCATCGGCTCACAGGACAGGGGTAGGTCACATTTACATGTAGGTATGTGTTCATACTTTGAGCTGTTGCAGAGATGAACACATCATGTAGCCGTGATAATTGCATGAATTCTGTAATGATGTAACATGCAAGTGTTATATGAGATTGAAGAGTGTAAGTGTGCGTGCCGTCAGCGCAGGAGCGATTATAACACTCACCTGTCCTCATCAGCAGACGAGCGCTGGCATATGATTACGGCCCTTCCAGCTTCTCAAAACTCGCTTGTTCAGTTTTGTCTTTGCATGCATAAAATGCGTGCATTATTGCGCATGAAAGAATAGCTACAGAAGAGTCACTTTTAGGTCTAGTTTGGATGATGCATTACAAAATTTGGTGTTTTACAGCAATTCGGCTCAGCCAGATGTGTGAATTTGAATATGCAAACAGATTGCAATAGCAGAAGTAAGAGATGCATGAAGACAGTCAATGCATTTAATGCATGTGCTATAAAAGCAAACCAGTGGCAGGCAGGCCAATCCATTGAGGTGCTTTTTAAAGAAGTGATCTAGTTACCCGTTTCAGTAGTCCACAGGGATTACAGCAATGTGCTTATAGCGAACGGAGGCCGGCGTATGGCGTAGAACCGACTTAGTGCAAATAAAATAAGGCTTAAAGGGGTCATATGATGCGATTTCATTTTTTCCTTTCTCTTTAGAGTGTTACAAGCTCTTTGTGCATAAAGAAGATCTGTAAAGTTGCAAAGACTAAAGTCTCAAATCCAAAGAGATATTCTTTATAAAAGTTGAGTTAGCCACACCTATGTGGAAAATAATGTGTTTTTTTAACTTTAAACCGCATAAACACATTTCATTACACCAAATACACAAAATAATGTTCTTTTTAGCAGCATCATATGACCCCTTTAAACCGAAGGTTCGGTTTCAGATCAGTTTATTTGACTGAGTTTTCATTCTTAAAGGTGCAGCCGATTGGATGGTGAACAAGTGTTAGCTTTAGCCGCCAGCAGGCCTGTGCATGAGGACTCAGTATAAGGCAGTTTAACCCATAAAGTCTGTAATTTGAGGGTTAGTTTTGCCTTAAATGTAGAATAAAGATGAATACTCTCATAACTGTTTATCAGTGCAGATCTCATGTAATCAGAATGGGAGTTTTGTGCATGTTAGCTTTACAGCTAATGTCTATATGCTAGTGTTTTACTAAAAGTTGACAAACGGTTAGCAGATATGCACATTTAAACTTCTAGGAAAAAGGAAACTGTTGAACATCTTTGTTCAGGACAAGTTTTTGTCTAACAAAGTGTTCTCTAGATCGAGACCTCGCCATAATTCGACCTGTCGGTGACTAGCAATAGCAATTAGCGTGTTGTGGTTAATGACTGGGACGGAAACAAGATGCCAGGTTTAAAATATGCATAATCACAGGAAACAGTACTGCCATTTATGAGCTCAGTGATATATTACGTACGAGTTGCTCTGTTTACATGCTTTATCACTGTTGCGTTTAGGGTCTTTTCGGGACCATATGAACACAGAAATGCACTTAAATGCAGACTTGTTCATAACTTTAATGCAATGTTCATGAGAATATTTAATTCATCAGCTATTTAAGGCAAGATGCTACAGGCAAATCATTGTTTTTTCATGCACGGGGCAATTTTGCTTCCATATCATGTCTTCTTTCAGACTAGTGAAAACATCAAAAATACACAATTAAACCTTAATTTTATTACACTTTATCTTTTTGCATCTGTAGATTTCAATTCCAATACATATCTTTATAAGTCAGGAGTTTTTCTCCACTTCAGCAACACTTAAATATACCAAACTTAACAGTTTTATTCCTATCTATATTCTGAAGGGTTTTACAGAGGGGTTTGTTCATATGTCATATACCGGAAATATTGTTTTAATTTTATTTTTAAAAACATGGTGAAAATGTTTTTTTTTTTTTTAAAGAGTGTTGACAGTATTTTCTGATATATGGAGTGATAAAAGGAAAGTCCTCTCTGTAAATCCTTTTAAAATATGTCAACAAAATTCAACAAGACTTCATCCGATGTTCGGATTTCAGTTCTGGAAATGTATGGGAATAATGTATAATAATAATGTAAGATAATATATCATTTGTATATTTAAACATAACATTTCAGAAAACTTGTAATACAAAACCATTGTCTTGATGTACTTTGATTAATCTTTGATTAGTGTATTTTAATGTATTATCTTTGATTAATGCACTTTGATTAAGAGACCCAAAATTGAAATTCTGTCATCATTTACCCTCAAGTTGTTCAAAACCTGTAAGAGTTTCTTTTTTCTGTTGAACATAAAAGAAGATATTTTGGTAACCAAACAGTTGATGGTCCCCAAAATACTATACAAGTCAGTGGGGACCATGAGTTGCTTGGTTTCACACATTCTTCAAAATATCTTCCTCTGTTTTCAGCAGAATTCATACAGGTTTGGAACAACTTGAGGGTGAGTAAATTATGACATAATTTTCATTTTAGGGTGAACTGTCCATTTAAGATGTGTTTTTGATCATCTATCCAGCGCTTCCCAGCAGTTAAATATTGCGGCTGGATGTGTCTGACAGTTTAATTAAAAGTGGACGCACAGATCTGTCATTATACGGGTGTTTCAGGGACTCTGGAGTGTGAGCCTGGTCAGCTGGCTAGATGCCACTCCTGCGCTTTTACTCGTTTCCTTTAAATGTCAGATCATTTCCACTGCAGGTTGTGTTAAAATCAGATGACAAAAACAAAATGCTCAGTCAAAAGTAGAGGAGATTCAACTCAAAAAACACAAATCTCACACTAGAGGAAAAGTACCACACTCACTTAACAAACAGACTTTATTTCTTTATATTTCTTCGTCAAGCTAAATAATGACGCTGTTATATTTTTAGAGCTGCTTTACAGCAGAAATCATATTTGTTGAATAGTCGAAGATCTTTAATACTGTCATTTTCTTAGCACTGTAAAGCTGCTTTGAAACATTCTGTATTGTATAAAGCACTATAGTAATAAATGTGACGTGACCATAAACGTTTCAGCCAACTTCATGACCTTCATCAGATCAGCATGATCTGATTATTTGTAATTATAAGGAATATTGCTAACACTTTACTTAAAGCCTTTATATACAGTATAATGCATTATAAAATAATTTTAATGCATTAATTATGCTTTGTAATGCACCTTATAATGCATTGTATGATCTCATGAATAACTGTAACAGCAGTTATTATACATTATAATACTTATCTATTTATTGTTGCACCTTTAGAAAATATAATGCATTAAAACACACGAAAAACAAACCTTTAAATATTATAATGCATTTTAATTTTGGTTACAATTATTAATTAATATATATGTAATAATGCATTACAACTAGGGTTGTGACGGTGAGGACATTTTCCCACCGGTTAATCGACGTGTGACAACACCGGTAATACCGGTATCCCCGCGGGGGCGGGGCGTTCCCTCTTTTCCTCGCTTTCCGTCGCTTTTAAATAGCTTGTAAAAGCAGCGTGCGCATTTTACTTTCACTTTGAAATTGTGGTATTTCGGCGTAAAGCAATTGTTCGTTTTTAGTTAGTTTGAATTTTCCCTCTTTTCCTCGCTTTCCGTCGCTTTTAAATAGCTTGAAAGCGCCGTGCGTTTTATACTGCAACCACAGCTGCCAAAATTATTTTGTAAAAACTACAGAATTTTTTTTACAGTGTGCATACCTTTATAATGCATTATGCATAAAGGCTTTAAATGTTACTGGAATATTATGTCTTATGACAGATTTGCGAAATTGTCGACATTTGTGCAATTGTGAAATGTGTGTTATTCTATTCACTACAGAATTATTCCGTTTTATGCATTGTAAATAAAAAATTTTAATTCTTAATTTGACGTTTTCCATTTTCTTTGACATTCAGAAAAGGAACTGCTAATGAGATCCCAAATGCACTGAACTAAATTTGGTGTAGAAACAATTTTCACTTATAAATTGCTAGTAAATTATATAAAGACTGAAATATTATTTTCTTGTAAAACGTATTCCAATAATATTTGTTTTATTTACGAGTTCCAAAATGATTTTTTAAAGTGTGCTAATGAAAAATAATAGAATTAGTCACTCAGTTCTGCTTGGTTATTTCATCATGTAAATCATTTTGGGCCTCCACAGATGTGGGAGATTTCAGCCGCATGTGGAATAGCGTGTGATAAGCCTTCAATTTGAGCTAATGAGGGTTTTATGCTGCTGCTTGTGAGCGGTTCAGGCAGGTTTATCATTTTGCATTGCTGTGTAAACTTGTTTTGCTTGTTACTGTCGCTTAGATTTTGTATTACAACCACTTCTTCAGCAGCCTTGGTTCCAGAATTATTTTCTGGAATTTAGAAAAATTATTTTATGAAATATCAAGTGTTTCATGATGGCATTCATTGATTACACCAGCCTGAATGAAATCCAATACTCATTTCTTACTAATTTTGTGCTGCTGATTGCAAAAATAGTGTCTGTTTTGCTGGAGCACGTTGCATTTTCGTTGCATTTTCTCACAAAATATGATGTATGAAAATATGAATTTTTGCTTTTGACAACCATTTTTAAGGTGAATTCGTCTTGCATTTTCTCTTAATCAACAGAGAAACACCACAAGCACACGATTCCTGTCTGGATCTGAGCCACATTTCAACTATTTGATCAATTCTCAGCCCATTTTCCCATGCATGACATTATTTTATGCCCAATCCTGATTTCAAGGTTAGAATTATAGTCAATGACAGAAGAAAATGCAAACATAAGCCATAGGTTTTTTGACACATCTCTGGGAGTTTTACTGCATCCAAACAGACACAGAAAATGACAGATTTATCTGGATTTATCTAGATTGCTTATTTTGTAAAGTTTTTTTTTAATTAAATGGAGTATTTGAGCATATTTTTCCACTCCTTTGCATATTGTAAGTTAAATAATACATTATGGATACTTGTTTTCGTCATTAAAACTGAAACATTTGACTGCTTTTTTTTTTTTTTTGATAAGTGATATATATATATATATATATATATAATTTAAAAAATATTCGTTCTTGTGAAAAAAAAACTACATGATGGAAAGTTTTTATTTGTGTTTCTAAACATAGCACTTAGCAAATTATGTAATATTAGGCATTTTTTTGCAAAGCATCAGGACTTTTTTGTGTTATAAGTTAACAGTATATTTGAAGTTTATTACAAAATAAACATGCATTTAAAACTTTAAATCACTGACTTGATTTCAATAGCTTCTATCATTGGTAAGTCTGCTTTGAGAGGTTAATGCTTTATTATTCAATTTCTCTTTGGTGAGCATGAATGGGATTTGAACTTCCTGAAGCGGACTGTTGCACTCAGTCATTATAGCTTGATGAAATCACACAATATTCCTCATCATTATGGATCTCTCTTGGTAGAATATAACTTATCTAACAGCTGAAGTTTGGCCATGTAAGTGAGAGTGTGTGTGATGCTAATGAGTCTGAATGCTGACGAAGCTGACGGATGGCTCCTCGTTGGCTGTTTGATCCTGTTACTGAGTCGTGGCTTTGAGAGCGTAAGTAGGTATGGTCACTAAAATTAGCCGCTAAGGCATTTGACCCTTAACCTGCTGAGTAAAGACCAGCTGAGAGCAAATGTCATCTTTTCCCATGACTGATGCTTTTGACAAAAACTAGCCAAATGGGCTTTATTAATGACTGTAGAAGTGCGAATCTCACAAAAACTGACACGAAATGTCTGTTTTTATTACACTTTTTTCCTTCTTAAATATGCCATTTTACTCAGAAATAGGTCATATTATGGAAGTAAAAAGGATTGCGTTTCACGTTTCCTGTTGACTTTAAGAACATTAAAAAAATGTTTGCTTTATAATTACTTTCATGAAAAATTCATGACACCACGTCCTTAAATTATCAGTACTGTAATGTGAAAAAATCTCATTCTCACTATTGTAAAGTGGAGAAATTTGTTTATTTATTTACTACACTGAAAAAATTTGTAAAAACTATTTTTATTCAAAATTGACTGAAATAATAGCAAATTTCAGAAATTGCTGGTAAATTTCACAAACGATAATAAAAAAAATGGCAAGTAGCATATTGAATTAGACATGAAATTTTGAAGTAGAAAAACTGAAAGAGTTTTTTTTGTATAAATGTACTTTAGTAATCTTTGTTTTATTTACATAAATCTTTTTTACAGTGTACAATTGTACATTTACATCACGGTAGTGTTTGTCTCATTGTTTTTTTGTTTTTTTAAACAAAAATGTCTGAATCTGGAATTTATTTTCTGTGTTATGAGAATTATAAATTTTTTTGATTTAAAGAAATGTATTAAAAAAAAAAAAAAAGATTTTTCTTTTTTGTTTTTGAGTGAAATATTTCTTTGAGCTTTGCCCAGTATCTTGTCATCTTCAGCACATGCATTATCATAAAGCATGCATGACCCTCAGCTGCTGCGTGTTTGGTTGCAGTTTATAAGTGTTTGGTTTTTTTTTCAGGTTGCGTTTGAAACCCCGCCCACAGTAGTAGATGAGGCCCCTGTTAAAGGGGAGGAGACTCCTGCAGAGGGGGAGGAGTCAGAGACACAAGTGAAGCCCGAACAGGGCACAGGCTCCACCCACCAGGAAGAGCAGACCACAGAAGAGCGTCTTCAGTTGCTGGTAAGAGTCACATGATCACAGACATAGAGATGTACTGTTTGCATGTACATTTCCACTGACATCAAATATATAAATAATTATATATGCACAGATTTTGCACCATACCCCAAAAAAATGCCAAAATACCTGAATTCATGGGAGCCTGGGACAAATATATGAATTAAATGGGCAAAAATATGCAAAAAGATTTTCACCGTCGGTTTAAAAACTGTGATGGAAAAGACACGAAAATCTTCAAAAATCCTGAAAATCCCATAGCATATGTAGAATTTTTTTTAGTTTTGTTCAGCTGTAAAATATTCTATCATATTTAAGAAATTGCTATTTTCTGAATTGTTGAAAAAAAAAAAAAACGAAACAAGTCATCTATACAGATTTTGTCAAAGCAGCTTTACAGTGTTAAACTATAAATAAATATTAGTTTTTATTGTTTATGACACTTATGTTTATTATTTATTACAATTGTATTAAATACATATTTTAATTATTATTTGTTTTTGGCTTATGTTCCTCATTTGTAACTCAATTTGGATAAAAGCATTTGCTAAATGAATAAAAGTAAATGCCACTGAGCCAATTAAACTACTTGATCAATTAATTAATAAGAATCGATTAATGTACATATTTTTAAGTTAAATATTTAGTAAAATTTTAAGACATTTGAATAAATGAATACATCCTTTTTTTTTTTTTTTTTAAATTCATATTAAAATTTTAGTTATTTTAAGGAACTGAAAAATAAAACTATAGCATTCATTCCTTGAGTTATTTTGT